CTACATCTGTGGTTGTTTTCACCATTCGTTGATACTTATAGAGTAATGGAGGATGATGACAACAACTCTGATGAGATTGATATTGCATTGGTAAGTTTATCTATCTTACATTGACGATTTTTGGTCATTTTCGATGGTTATTGTTTTGTTTGAGTTTGTTCGATATTGATGTACCAACTGTTAATGTGAAACCCCAAAAATCGGGAACATCAAAGAATATATTAACAATTAAATACAGGATTTTTCTAAGGTTACAAGAGTAGGAAACGCTACTAATGAATCCTTTGGCTAATAACCAAGCAAGATCCCAAAAAGATCAGAGGAGTCAATATAGCCTTCATTCAAAGTCCAACCACCTTAGATAACAAAGCTACCTTTTTGACAGATCTTAATAAAATATTAACACAAGGTCTACATGAGTTGACGAGACAATAAGGAATAGGTAATATAAAAGATATGCATAGATATATAATAATTTCAAAATCATGTCTTTAACATGGGATCTATCACTTACAATCTCAAAACACGTTTACAAACTAGTTTCTAATCCTCCTAGGGTAGCCGTTCATCCTCAAATGCTTCAGCTTTGCCTTCGATCGGTCTAATAGTTTTTAATACCTGGCATAAAACGCCATGAGTTTTGAATGCCCAGTAAACGTACACACACCCCGTCATTTTTTCCCAATCTAATATACCATCACATTTATAACAAGTAAGTAATGAAGCATGATATTTAAGTCAATAACAAGAATGACAATGTTAGATGTTAGTATTCTATAAATCCCCCAAAGAGATTTCGGCCTTGTTTGGTTTGTTTTTTAGAAAAAAATTTGGGAAAAATTCTCTACAACCAAATTTTCAAGAGCAATCAAACCAAACAAATTTTTCCAAAAAAAATCTTAAAATTTTTTTTGGTTACCTACTTTTCAAAATCACTCTTTCTCTCATACACATCAAATCAATCACTTTTTTTAAAACTCTCTCCCCAAAAAAATTTTCCAAAATCATTTCTAAAAAAAGGCAAACCAAACAAGTTTTCATACTTTTTATCTCAAAAATTACTCTACAAACACAAACCAAACATACCCTTCATCTTCCCAACCACAATAATGGGATACCAGACTATTCTGAACTTTCATTTTTGTGGCTTTGTTGCAGAACTTACCTCAGATGCCTACCAACAGTTATATACCGCGTAGTGCCAACCGCAAGGCCTCAAAAGGGACAACGAAAAGAAACCCTGAATCAAACCTTATCCTTAAAAAAAAAAGTTTCATCCTCCTGAATGTCCCATCTGGACCCAGTCTTATCTCACCAATCAAACCATCGCAAAGAGCCCGAATACGTCCGTTCCATTCTAGGGTTTACACGACAATCGCTTGCGCAAGACTTAACCTTCAATTAGGGAGCATATCCCATCAATCCATACATAACACATTATCATCCTTCATTAATCAAGTGATCGAAACCTCATTAGTCGCCCAATTAAGTTTTCCGTTTGGATTAATGTTTTGAGTCAAGTTAGAACAAACTTAACAAGATAGTAATATCCACATAAGCATGAGCATCATTAAAATGAAAAAGATAAGGAACATAACCATAACATATGCAATATCATACCAAGACATGATCATAAACTAATAAGCATATTCATGAACACAAGAGCATAAAACACCCACGCAAAACTAAATTTCCAGATTCAGTACCATTTAAATATTAAAATCAAAAGGGCTATTTCAGATTTTTACCGAACTTGGCCTTCCTATGGTTCGCAGAGAACTTAATCTAGTTTTCAGATCATGTTTTAGAAATGTGATGGATTTTGTAGATTTTTAGTTATTTAAGAAATGCTCTAGCGCTGTCCAGATTTGTCGACCGTTATGAAAATTGTATTTTCGTACAAACTGCTCACTATTTTTCAATGAAACAAAATTTCCTTGAATGCTAACTCTTTAAGGAAGATTTTGATGTAAAACTAAGGTCTAGAATATTTTTATACATTTATCTATAATTTTTAAAGTTTGCTATAAAACAGATTTTTCTGGCACAATTCTTGAATTAAGAAAGTTGGTGAGAAAAGAGGCCAACTAAGGGAAATTTTCTTCTTCTTTTGTGATGAAAACATACTAAATAATGTTTCAATAACTCAGATTTTTATAGTGGTGGTATGCCTTTAAAAAAAAAGTGAGATATGAGAAGAAAAAAGTAGTTTTGCATCTATTAAGAGGAAATATGAATAGAAAAAGGATTAAAGCCTAATTCATCCACTTTGAACACATGAACACCATTACAACACATCTGAAAATATGATTTTAAACCTCTAATAACATGTATTTGAAAAAGGAAAGTAAAAGAGAGGGTTGTGTTGTGACTTATTTGATTGACTAGTGAAGTGTTTGCATATTTTCCTTCTCTTTTCCTCTCCTTCACTACCAAAGTCCACTCTCTTCCTCTTATTTCTCTCTTAACTGAATGTGTAGGTGTGTGAGTGTATGAGATGTGTAACATGTGAAGGGTGGTGGTGTTTTTATAATAAAATTGGTGTAAAAGGTCCAAAATGCCCACTGGTTGGAATGAAATGGAATTGAGATGTATTTAGTTGGAATGTAATGGAATAAGGGATCATTAGGGAGCCTAATCATGTATTAAGGCATGATTTAGTTGGGGTTAGGCTTAAATAGAACCAAGATAGTTACAAGTACAAGACAACTTTCCTTGATTTGGGGGTACCAATGATACTTTTTCATGATTTAAGGAATTTGTCTCTAGAGTACTTATGATTGTAGCCGAGAGAGGGTGATGGCTGGCCATATGCTAGATTTGGGGAGATTTTTGTTGATTATATATATATATATATATGATGATATTTGTGTACAAAATTATTTATTTAAGAAAAGTACAAGTATATATATGTATATATGTGTGTAATGGTACTAGTTTGGGGTCAAAATGTGATTTAAGAAAAATATGAGGACATTGGGTTTAATTTATGAATTGGAACATTTGTTTTAGTGTCAAATTAAATTAAATTGGGGTTAGAGAGTCTAATTCGGTTTGGATTTAAAAACGCGATCAACCGACGAACGTGATAACGACTGGAAAAACGTAGGGTTTTCAAGTGGTAATTTCATATTTAGGGAGTCAATTAATCAGTATTAGGATATAAGAAATTATTTCTAAGTTTCCGAAATCGATTAGGGTTTGCAGGTTTTGTTGGCGCATGTATTTTGATCCTAGGGTTGCAATTAATTAAGAAACTAAGAGACTTTAAGAAAATAATTTAAAAGTAAAGGACTTTTAAGAAAGAAAAATTTTCAGGGGCCTCACAGTTAAGGTTTTGTATAGTAATATAATGCTGAATAGAAACATTTAGTTTGGTAGATAGATTCCGAATAGTAATATTTTGTTCGTCACTAGTACGCCGAATGGTTCCATTTTATAGGATTTTTTTTCCTAGTTGTGTTTTTTATGAGGATTTTTTTTCCTTTAACCCCCCTATATCGAGCGTTTTACCCCGAAGTAAACCAAAAAAATAAAATATGATGGAGAGTTGGAGGTTACTTGAGAGAATGAAAAAGAGATCATTGAAGAGATTTCTGACTTATCGGAGAAGGACAAAGAAAAGGACTGTCGTTCACTAACATTGTATTTGGTTGAGAGATTTGAGGAGAGATTTGGAAAATGAAAAGGAAAAAATGTGTGAAACTAAGTGAAATGTAGGTATATTTTATTCATATTTTACCTATATTTTTTCTTTCTCTTTCCTAATCCCTTCCCTTCCAACCAAACAAAGCATAAGAGAAGGAGAAAGAGGTAGTCGATTCGTCACTTTTAATATAAGTGGGTGTGCAAAATTATATAGGTGTGCACTTGGGTGTGATGATATTATGAATAGAAATAAAATTGATAATAAGTGAGATATTAATTTTTTTTATTAATTTAAAATTTAAAGTAGGAATTCAAAAAAATAGGGGATAAAAAAAATAAATAGGTGCCCTCTTTCCAAATATCTTCCCAATTCATGAATCAAAGGGTTCGTTTTGGATGTTGGTTGATTTTTTAACTCTTTAAGTTTTTGACTATTTTAGCCTGAGGCTAAAAAACCTCAATTGAGATGATTTTTTTTTTAAACTTTTATAAAAGAAAAAATAAAATAATTACGCTTTAAATGTTACATTTTATTTTATTAATTTTATTAATTTATTTTATCCTTTTATGTTTATTTTAACCCCAAACCATAATGGCACACCAACAATGCCACAGACCCCCAAAAAACGCAACCCTCACTTACCTGTGATTGGTCTAGGAAGGAAAGAAAAAAAAAAAAAAAACAAATTTGGCTTACATCATTTTAGGGTCATGGGGTCCCTAACTTTGGGGGTCCCAAGCATTTTTGTATGGCAAGGGAGTGTAAATTTGGCCTGACTGGGCCCATATCAGGTCTTGTAGGCTCTCGCCAAAATTTGAGTCGGCCCGGGCCGGCTTACGGGCCAGAAAATTAGGCCCGGGCCTAGGCCTAAGGGGTATTTGGGCATTGGGCGGGCCAGCGGGCCTAGGATTGGCTCGGGCTTGGGCGGGCCTGAACATTATTTTTAAATTTTTTACTAAAATTTTATTATTTTCTATTAAAAAAGATACTAGGTTTCGTACAGGTCGGACCTCAGACCGAACCTTGAGCGGGTCTTAAGCGAGTCAATGAGTCGAACTTCAAAATGATAGACCAAGCCTAAACTCATCTCAAATTGGATCCAAATTGACCTAGGCTAAGCCCACCCCGAATCACGAGCAAACTTCAATTATCCACGGTTCATTTTTATTCTTCTAAACGAGGGAAATTATTAATGTTACTAAAATATGCGTATTTATATTTTTTAATCAATTATTATTTCATATATACCTTATCTTTCTCAATCATCAACATAAGATATCCTGCCTATTCATATTATCCACTAATTATAATATAATGAAATATCACTTTTCTATATTCCGAGATCAGCGTATGATTACCCCTAAACGAGTGCAAAAACTGATAAGGATGCGCCAATGAATAAAACAAACAATCTCGGTTCCGTTACCGACTGAAACAATGTCCAAAGTCACGTTTGATTTTCTCTACTCAATGCATGATGACATCACCAATCAATCACCAACAGCGGTGTGGGAATTTCAAAGAAAAGCGAGTTTCTCATCGAATCATGTGACAGAATCTCCAGAACCTTGCACACGTTCTCTCTAGATACTTCATCCAAATTCAGAGATTTATCTTCGATTTTGGTGTACATTTCACTATCTTGAGCTCTTGGCTTTGTTTGATTGTATTGATTGTCTATTGAGGGTTCTTGAATTTTGATTTTTCAAACCGGGCTTGTTGGATTAGGGTTTGGTTAATGTGAATGTGAAGATGTCTCCGGGTTTCGATGCAATGAGTGGGACTCCACCTGGAATTTCGCTTCTACGAAGCGTTAGAGGCAAGGATTGGAGTCTAAATACCTATAGATATATGGTTTTGTTGATTACTTTTATAGCTTATACTTGTTACCATGCTTCTAGGAAACCCAGTAGCATAGTCAAAAGTGTTTTGGATCCAGACCCTAAGAAGATCAATGTAATTCACCCCTGGCCAATTGGTGAATTCTTTGTTAAGAGGGATTTTGTGGTGGGTACTGAGATGAATAGATTAAGAGATCAGGGTTGGGCTCCATTTAATGGAACAGATGGGACTTTGAAATTGGGAGAGATTGATGTTGCATTTCTAGCTTGTTATTCTCTAGGAATGTATGTTGCTGGGCATTTAGGGGATACTTTGGACCTGAGATTGTTTTTGACTACTGGGATGATTGGGAGTGGGATTTTTGTCGGGCTTTTTGGGATGGGTTACTTTTGGAATATACATGTGTTCTGGTTTTATTTGGTGATGCAAATGGTAGCCGGGTTGTTTCAGGCAACGGGTTGGCCTTCGGTTGTTGCTGTTATAGGTAATTGGTTTGGGAAGAGGAAGAGGGGATTGATAATGGGTATTTGGAATGCTCATACATCTGTGGGGAATATCAGCGGTTCGCTTCTTGCTGCCAGTGTATTGGAGTATGGATGGGGCTGGTCTTTTATACTTCCTGGTGCTTTTATCATTCTAGGAGGGACAATAGTGTACCTGTTCTTGGCTGCTTATCCTGAGGATGTTGGGTTTCCTAGCCCACATGGTTTTGCTTGCAATCTCAAGACAGTGACTAATGATGAAGAAGCTCAGATAAGAAAAGGAGACTTGGTGGAAGCTGAAAAGAGAAATATCCTGCAGTGTCGATCGGTGAATAGGAAAAGTATCGGGCTTTTTGAAGCTTTCCTAATACCTGGTGTCATACCATTTGCATTGTGCCTCTTCTTCTCAAAGCTTGTGGCATACACATTTTTGTATTGGCTACCATTTTATCTTAGTCAGACAGGTAAATTCTGGCTTTCTGTCTCCTTTTCACTATTAGATTTATTGATGAATAGAGAATATAATAAATAAAAGATTAACTTACTAATTTTTGCATAATCTTTGTGGCCTGTTTCTCACATAACTTTCGATTTTAATTGATGGGATGTGCCATCCTGATTTTGGTCTACAAGAAATTGCAATTGGTTGTTAGTGTTACAATGTGTACAATTAAGAATATGATGGCGTGAAAATTGGATAGGTCTTAGTCTTGCATTATGCATGTAGTTCATTTGTCTGGTTTTTGAAGCCCAAGGTAAATCGCTTGGGTGAAGTTGAATTGGTTACCTTCATTTGATAAGTAAAGATGTGCAATTTTTATTCTAATCATATGTTAATGGTTGTGCAGTTGATCAATGCTTTTGAAGCAATGATTTTCTTGATTTTGTTGCTTGTCCAGTTTCTTCTTCTTTTTTAAATCAATGCCTCAAAAGTACAAATGCGGTCTATTATGAATCAGTCCCCAAATCTGACTAATGGTAGTTGTGAAGTAAAAGACCATCAGAGGGCATGGGTGATGCGTAGGTGATCAATAATAATATGTGCAATATATAACATTGTTTGATGCTTGTGGGTACTTGTATCAAGCTCAATACGTGGCAAGCCCTACAGGTGCCACATCACCAAAACCCCACCTACGTGGCAGACCAATAAGGCACCACGTCTGGCATGTCGTATGTTTGATGCATGGCGAGCCCTATGGGCACCATGTGCCAAGGCAACCAAAACTATATGCTTAGCCTAAGCGGGAGCATATATACAAGCACAAATATATCTAGATATGAAGAGCCCTGGAACAGGCAGCACCATGGCCCCGCAGGGCCCATGGTCCTTCATACCTCGCTCCAAGGCCAAACAACAATACAATCAGCCCCCGGCTCACTTGGACTTGGATTGATAAACAATGGCTCTCCTAAACATTGAGATAGGCCTGCGGCCCATTCTCCTACTTGATCGCTCAGAAGCGAGCCCCTCTCTTAAACATTGAGATAAGCCCGCGGCCCATTCTCCTACTTGGTCACTTGGAAGCGAGCCCTTGGCTCTCTTAAACACTAAGGTAGGCCCTGGCCCATTTATCTACTTGGATGCCTGGGTTGGGAGCAGGACCCAGACACTACTGCTCGGGATCATCAGAGGATACTGGACTGCGGCTGAGGTCATGGGATCGTCGAGATGGTTGTCTTCTTGCTAAGACAACTCCATCTCGACTAGGCTTGGAGAAGAGGCAGCAATGACCTTACGTTCATGTCATCCAATGCATATACGAAACGTTACTTTCTGCCTGCCATGAAACGTTGCTCTCCGCCTGCCGGCAAGCCACAGACGGCAGGCCACAGATGGCAGAAGGGCTTATATCACTTCTGGCAGAGTTGAGGAGAACGAGCCACCTATCCAACAGTTCGCTTAGACTCCAATACTCCTGTGGCCTATATAACGTATCGTATATGCAGTGAAACAACAACAACAATATAACCGAGCCTCATGTTTAAACACCCTCTTTCACTTTACATTAGTGTTCAAGGTCTATCACTGCCGACCTCTCCCTCTCCAATTTTGCCTTGATCTCCTCCTCTTCACCTCCGGTGATCCCAAGCCATTGAAGTGCCTGCCATCTTCCCGGACTACCTCTAACGAGACTTCTCACCCACATTATACTCTATTTTTTTTTTTTTTTTTTTCCGATGGGAAGGGTTATGCGAGGGGAAGGGGCTATCCCAAAATATGGGTTTTGTTATGCGAGGGAAAGGGGCTATCTCAAAATATGGGTTTTGTTATGCGAGGGAAAAGGGCTCTCTCAAAATAGTGCGTTAGCCTTAGCGAGGGAAGGAGGTTTTTTTTTTTTTTTTTGGAAAGGGTACATGCGACGGGGTGAGGGAGTTGCGAGGGATGCGGCTTGGTCTGTGCCAGGGACATGGGGCTAGCTAAAATATGGTTTTTTTTTTTTTTTTTTTTTTAACAAAAGAATTTGGTGAAATAAAGAAAAATGAAGCGAGGTAGAAGTGGTGCGAGGGGAAGTAAAGATTAATGCGAGGGATGGGGGGAGCTGCGAGGGATAGAGGCCTAGCGAGGGGAAGAGGCCTATCTCAATTTTTTTTTTTTGTTTTTTTTTACTTCGGTGGAAATAGTTAGAAAATTTGCGAGGGATAGAAACATATGTGGAAAGCGAGGGAAAGGGGAATTGGAACGAAGGGATACTTCATGCGAGGGATAGAGGCCTAGCGAGGGGAAGAGGCCTAACTCAAATTTTTTTTTGACGAGGAACTGACACTTGACTCATTTATGCCCCTGGTTTATTGCTTTGTCTTTCTTTTTCAAGTTTTTATGGAAAATCAACTTTGGTTTGGAGAATGTACTTGTGATAAATCAATAACATTAAAGTGAGTATTGAAAAGTTTCCTTTTGTGTTGTAAACGATAAAGTTTTGAGAAGAAAAACAAAAATTGAATTAAAACTTTTCAATTTTTTTTTTATTTTTCTTTTTTTATTTTTTTATTTTTTTGGGAAGGGTTAGAAATTTAGGCAAGGAATAGAAACATAAATGTAGGCGAGGGATAGAAACATAAATGTAGGCGAGGGGTAGAAACATACCTGGAAGGTGAGGGAGAGGTGAATTGCGAGGGAAAGGCCTAACTCAAAATAGTGCCTTAGCAAGGGGAAAATGACTTTTTTTTTTTCTTTTTTGAGATAAAATGCACCTCAAAAGTGAATGACATTTTTGATTTGTAAATCTTGTGTTGATGTAGGAAAGGCGAGCTTTTGTGATATGGCTAAAGTAAAAGGGGGAAGTGTTGTGTCCCGTCGCAGCGCACAACAATCACTAGCAGGTTCTTCTGGCATTTCCAAGTCAAAAGTGGGTAAATCCAAGAAAAATCTTTTTAAGGCCAAAAAGGACACGGATCCTCCAATCGTCCCTCCAGCAGAATATTGGTGTTAGGCACCTTTCTTTGGTGCCATGGATTTGTTTTGGGCGAGGGTGGACTTATTTGATGACAATGGCGGGGGCCCAACTGATTTTCTTCTTGGTGGAGTTGAGACAGAGAAAGGGGTTGAAGCTTTTGTTCCTCCAGAGTCTATTGTACGTTTTCATGTGGAGAGGGGTACTTATCCTTATTCTTTTCCGGCTTTTGAGGATTATACGGGGCCCAAAGATGACTTCGATGTGTGTAGTGCAGCTATCTTTCGCCATCCCTCATATTGTGAGGTGCTTACTGGGGCTAAGATTGCTACTGCTATTCCTCAGTGTATGCGGATTAGATGGGAGCCATCTTGGCTGGAGTTCGTATTGTTACGTTGGAGTTCAAGTTCTCATACTTTTATTGCGCAGTGGGGCGAGACGACCCCTACTCTAGAGGATGTGGCTATCTTGACGGGGTTGGAGCACCTTGGATCAGCGAATCCTAGCGCAGGAAGTTTGTCCCTTAGCTAGATGGCTATTGTTGGGAGATTGGAGGAGGCCGTGGCACCGGCAGGGAAGTTATTGAGTCGTTATCAAAATAAAGTGTTAGTAACACCTCGATCACGAAAACGACCAAAAAACACTTCCGGGGGATGGCTTCGGTACTGGTTTCGAGATCTTAGCCATCAGGTGCAAGGAAATGCGGAGGACGGATTCATAGGTCCAGGGGTGGAAGGGGACAAGTGGGGGAGTATTGAGCATTTAGCTGCTTTCATTACATATTGGCTGTCGCGGTACGTCTTGATGGGTAGACCCCAAGACGGTATTTGCCATGAGCTCTTTCCTCTTGCTGCCATTCTTGTTTCCGACTGTCTGATTCCGTTGGCTCCTTTATTTTTGGGGGGCTGTATAGGAGGTTAGATATGTATCAGGAGGGTGTTGATCGTTCCAAAGGACGATACGATGTTACCAGCTTCCTCCCTACTACCTTTCTGCAGTTGTTTTTGTATAAGAGATTTCCTAGCTTGGCCCCTATGCCAAAGGTGTTTTCCATTGAAGAAAGTGAGTCGCGTTCTGCTAGGTGGGCTGAGGGATGTGTACAGGGGAGTTTGGCCAGCATTTTTGATTTTGAGGACAAGTTTGTTGCTCGTCCTTATGTCATGCCAGTTTGTGGAGTATCTTCTACCATTGCCTACTGCCTAGATGATTGCGAGCTTGTTCTCGAGCCGGGTGTGTCTTATTTGGGGGATGCGGATTCAGTGATGGTTCTTAGCACCGTTTCTGGATATTTACCTTATTTTCTGGATGGCACATACGGTGTGGTGGCCTATAATCCTTTGAGGGTTGCTCGACAATTTGGTTTGGACCAAGGGGTTCCTCAATATCTTCCTTCTCCTGTACCTTCGGCGGCCGACTGTATGCAATTATATGTATACTCTTTTCTTTTAGAAGAATTAAGGTGTCGGGGGCGAGCTGTGCTAGCAAGTAAGGGTAGAATTGGCGGAACCACCCCTAGTTTGAGGAAGTATTGGAGATGCAATCTTGCATTATTTCTGGCTTTCTTGAGTAGTGATCTTGATCCTGTCCATGTTGAGCTCATTCCGTCTGATGACCCCGAGTTATGTATGGCTCGCGGAGAGCGGGGCTTGTCAGCTGCAGATAGGGGGGAACTCAACCCACTGGCTCGCTTGTCTAAGGTGACTATTGCTTTGGAACAAACCCAGATAGTTTCTCCTGACCGACCTTCTAGTGCCAAGCGTAAAAGGCCACCCCCTTCCTCCGTTCTTGTTCCAGTGCCTGGGAGAGTACCTCCAAAGATTAGAGGTATAGATCCGCCTACTAAAACCAGGGTTGCCCGCCAAGCGAGGGGTTGCTCAACTGACACCATTGATTCGTCACAGGTAAACTCATATTTTGTATTTTGGAATTATTTGAGAGTTTGTGGCGTTTCTAATACGTTTGTATTAAAATACCTGTATTGTTTGTAGGGGTCGGCTGGCGCGTGTCAGATAAAATTGGCGCGGCATAAAGTCTTGCCCATAGGTGCTGAGGACGATGTAGAAAATTCA